GGCTGTGCATTAGAAGGGCGCAGCTCTGACTGGGTCTGGAGTATCTGGGTGGGAATTAGGGCTTAAGGAAACTCGTTCTCCATGTAATGAAAATGTGACCGGCTGCTGCTATGGTGAGGCAGGTTCCTGTGGGTGGAATTCCCACCAACAGTGGGCATCCTTCTCCTGCTTTGATGCCCTCACTACTACCTCCTCTACTTTTGGAGCCTAAAATTGGGCTGAAGATGCAAAAATCTGGTGTACATATTCCCAATACCACAAAAGGGAGTCCACGGTGTGGGCTTGGAACTGAGACTAGTAACTGGAACGGTGGTGCACTCTACCGATGTCCTGGCCCTTCCCCTGCAAGCAAGCCCGGTGGTGCAGAGGGAAGGGAATGGTCGGTGAAACTAAGTGGTGACACTTAGTTGTGAGCAAGTCAGATCTCATAGTCAAATCCTATTTCAGGATTAGTGGGGGCATTGGGAATTAAATAATCCTTTCCTAGGCTGGGAAGGTGGCTCAGTGGTAGAGCACTTGCCTTGCATGCATGAGGCCCTGTTTTCGATTCCTCAGCACCACATAAGCAAAAAGAAAAAAGCCAGAAGTGGCGCTGTGGCTCAAGTGGTAAAGTGCTAGCCTTGAGCTGAAGAGCTGAGGGACAGCGCCCAGGCCCAGAGTTCAGGCCCCACAACCGGACTCAAAAATAAATAATCCTTTCCTCCCAGTCGTAATACCAATTTTTAGCAATGCTTTATATATAACAGTTTATCATTAATAAACATTTTTTTCTGCCAGGCACTGCTGACTTAAACCTATAATCTTGGCTACTCAGGAGGCTGAGATCTAAGAATCATGGTTCAAAGCCAGCCTAGTCTGTGAGACTTTCATCTCTTAATTGACCACCAGAAAACCAGAAGTGGCACAATGGCTTGAGCAAAAAGAGCTCAGGGACAGTGCCCAGGCCCTATGACCAACCAAAAAGCTTTGTATTTTAGAGTAATTTTAATTTTGCAGAGAATTCCTATATCCAGCTTACTTTTCAACAGTGTAGTGTGTTTGTTCCAGTTACTGAGCTGCTACTGAGTTATCAACTAAAGGACACTCATGTTCCCTTGGTTTTTACCTGGAGCCATTTTTCTGCTCAGGACCCCATCTAGGTTTCTCTGACATCTCGTCCCTGTGTCTCGGCTACGTTTGGTCCTTGTGTGTCCTTGTGTGTCCTTGAGCTCACATGGGCTGTGACCATCTGTTAGATTTGTTTTTGGGCAGTGTGGTGGTTTTGAGGAGTCTTGGTCAGATGTGTTATAGAATGTTCTCTGTTGAGATGCATCTGGTGTTTTACTCTGGAATCCATTGAAGTACAAATTTTGGGGAGGAAAACCATTTCTTGTGAGTGCTTGCTGTGACATCACGTGACTCGCCACTCAGTCTCGATCATGTGGCTAATGTAGTGCTGTGTCCCCCACTGAGGCTGGCCGCTCTGCGCCTTTCTCTCTGCAGGCTGGTCTCTGGTAGAACGTGGGGAGCACTGAGTACAGAGCATTTCCAGGCCTCAGCTAAAATGCCTTCTACAAGACTGATGTATCTCCTCCCCCACTCCACTCATGTATTCATAAGCAATACTTATATGTAGTTTGGTGCTATTTGAGTTTAGTTATTTATATTGTGCCTCATGATAATGATTCGTAAATAATACCAAGAGGAAACAAGCAAGTACCCAAATAAGTACCTTTCACCAACACTTTTTTTTTAAACCGGTGGTATTGGGGCTTGAGCTCAAGGTCTTATACTTGCTAGGCTGGCACTCTATCACTTGAGCCATGTCCCCTAACACTTTTTGCTTTGGTTATTTTTGAGATAGGATTTTGCCTTTATGCCCAGGTGAGCCTGGAACTTGATGTTCATATTTTCACTTCCTGAGTAACTGGGTGGCAGGTGCACACCACTATGCCCAGCTTTTTATTGATTAAGATGAGGGTCTCATGAACTTTGTGCCCAGAATGGCCTCAAACCATGATGCTCCTATCTCCACTGCCTGTGTAACTAGGATTACTGGCATGAGTCACCACATCTGACAGAACATTATATTTTTAAACGGACTTGTGGAAAATACAGAATGGAGAGTATAAGGTCAATATAGGAGGGCACAACTTAGAAAAGCACTGCCCACAGTTTGCTTACAGTTTGAGATTTAACCTGAGATGTACAGAGGGAAGGGGTGGCTTAACTATTTTCAAGGCAAAAAGAAACAGGAAGAACCGTGGTCTTGTTCAAGACAGATGCTGCTGGAGTGGAAAGAGAAAATGAATTAATTGAACCCCTCCACTCAAATTGTGCTGCTTTTGTTCTCAAGGAAAGTGATCATCATATAGGAAAGGGTACCATAAGTAGTGATAGAGGAAATTGAAGCTGAAGATGGTTTGGAGAGTATAGGAACATGCCCTACTGCACAAATGCAAGTTGACCCACTCCGGGTCTTAGCCCGGAGATTGTCGAGCTGTTCATGATGCTGGAGAAGCTGGAGAGAATGGAGCTGCGATGAGACTCAAGGCCAAAGGAAAGAATAGATGGAGACCTCAAGTAACATAAGCGAAAGCCCATGAATTCGCATGCCAGCGGGTGCCTCTGTTGCTTCAGCTGGCTTCGTGATTTGGCTCTTGTTGCACCCGTGTAGTGAAGCACTGACAGCCCTCTGGATCTCACCTAGAGCTGGCAAAGATTGCAAAGTAATATCCTAACAGGTGAGAGGGCGTGGCTGTGCAGTGAGAGGAACTTAAGGCTTATATGGATTAGGGCTGGGAAGGTGGCTCAGTGGTAGAGCTCTGGCCTTGCATGCATGAGGCCCTGGGTTCCATTCCTCAGCACCACATAAGCAGAAAAAGCTGGAGGAGGCTCTGTGGCTCAAGTGGTAGAGCGCTAGACTTGAGCTGCAGAGCTGAGGGACAGCGCCCAGGCCCCCAGTTCAGGCCCCACAATCAACAGAAAAAATAAAATAAAAAAATAGATGAATGCAATCAAACCTTGCTCCAGGCTAAGATTTATTAATCCATATTTTTTGAGGAGAGGGGTCTGGAGTTTCCCCTTTTAAAAAGAGTTTAATAGAGAAAAAGCTACAGCAAAAACAGCAAGAGTAGTTTCGTGATTTTTTTTTTTTTTGGTCGGTCGTGGGGCTTGAACTCTAGGCTTGGGCGCTTTCCCTCAATTCTTCAGCTAAAGGCTAGCACTCTACTGCTTGAGCTACAGTGCCACTTCCGGTTTTCTAGTGGTTTATTGAAGATAAGAGTCTCACAAACTTTCCTGCCTGGGCTGGCTTTGAACTGAGATCCTCAGATCTCAGCCTCCTGAGTAGCTAGGATTATAGGTGTGAGCCACCAGCACCCATCTGTTTCATGATTCTTGATACAAGCTGTGGTCCAAAAAATATTTAGTTTTAAATAGCACTGTAGTTTTAAAATAGCACTTAAAGAAGGAGTTAGAACTTAAAAATGTTGGTTTATTGTATAGTTAGTCAGCCCTCCATTTCTGTGACAGAATACCTGAGATAAACAACTTCCAGGAGGAAAGGTTTAGTGTGACTTGGGGCTTCTGAGGCTTCAGGCCATGGTCTCATGGCCCTGTTGCTTTGGGCCAGCAGAAGCCCAGTGTATCCAGGCAACAGCAGCCCTTTCGAGGACCTGCCCCAGTGCCTAACTTCCTGTCACTAGGCCCCACCTCCTAAAACATCCCACCATTACCCAATAGAGCCATGAGCAGAGGAGGAAGCCTTCTAGACATGGGCCTTTGGGGGATCATCCAAGAGCCAAACTAGCAGCTGCCATAAATGATTATTTCAATTTGTTGTAATTTGCACTTCTTGGATTGGTAATAAGATTGAACCATTTTCCCTATTCACATGTTTGCTGGAGGATCATTTTTAGCATTGAGCTGTTATTTATTCATAAGTCTTCAAACATGATAACTTACAAGGTGTTTGTTAAAAGCGTTACCCAATGTAGTTTGAGTTAGCACCGAGGCCTTCCCCTGTAGGGGCTTAGTTTTAGCTGCTGGGATGGGGCACACGAGTGATCCATCTCTTAACAGTATGAGACTGTCTAATGCCTCTTCATACCTTTTTTGCCACCCTTGGTGAATGAGAACATTCACTTGATTTGTTATTCAACTCAAATTTTCATTTTGCAATTTGATATATAACCTCTGTGTTCTGTTTTTTTTTTTGGGGGGGCGGCTGTGGGGCGGCCGTGGGGCTTGAACTCTGGGCCTGAGCGCTGTCCCTCAGCTCTTC